TAACTAGACGCCATAAAAGCCGACTTTGCCTCTCATTCATAAATATATATATATATATATATAACAGAGAAACTCCGTCTAGCCGAAAAATTAAGGTTTTACTTACTAATAGAGAACGACTTACATAGATATCTCTGTAGAACTTACATAGATATATATAGGACACGCTGAGTGAGTCCCACCTGATAAAAAATTATGAATACGTGAAAAAAAAATTGGACTCACTCAATTCCCCATATAAAGGCCTTTTTTTCCCAGTTCATCTCTTCATCTGTTCTCTCTGGTGTGACATTTTACTGCAAACACAAATGCCACGTAGCTCACTAAAGAAGCTCAAGAATTACATGGTTCGCCACCAACCCTTGCTTCCTTTCCCCCACAATTTCACGGGGTCTTCCCTGCCCAAGTAATGAGAGAATAAAGTACCATTCTCAAATCTCAACCATACCTGTCCTATAAACTGGCGTTGCAAAAAAATCTCTCCTGCATCAACTCGAGGAGTTGGGCTTCAACAGTGAAGTGACCATTCTAAGATGCTCTTTATTGTTGCAATCAAAATTCTATCCGTAGCCGCCGTATTTCAGCTCGGAAAGTAGGGCTTGAATACAATGTCCGGTGAGCAAGACTTCTTATGTCTTCCCGAGAACAGTCCCGTGATATACGAACTAGCTCCCAAAGGGCCCCTCCACTGATCATGTCCTTTGCATTTACTTCTGAAATTTTTGAAGACACAGGTTTTAAACAGAATGTTCTCTAAAATTTAGGGTGCTAAGCAGGATGGAAGAAGCCTACTTACCATGTTGTGCCAAGTGGCACAATGCAAGCTCAATGTGGCGCCTAATGGGTGCAGCATCATTATTAGCATTTTGTATGATCCATGGAAGTGCACCATCTTCTATAAGAAGAGATCTGCCACCTTTTATACCTGGAGCAAGGCCCCAGGTTAAACTAGCTTAGGAAAAAAATGAGGGCATCACAAAAAATACAGGCTATTTTCCTATTTGATTTGCGCAATATGACTTCAACTTCTTATAGGATCAGATTTCTATATTCTCCATATTATGGATAAAACATAGTCTGAAGAATGATCAAATAAACCATTCATCTGTTCACTTATTACTGCAACTATCGAAATTCAACAAAAATGTGTAAGACGGATCATTTACCCTGACTAGATGCTCGAGATTCACATTTTGCAAAATTAGCAATCCCACGTGCAACTTGAGACAGAACATCAGGATGTGCACATCTCACCATACCAAGTAATGCCTTAATTCCACCTTCAGACCTCAGCTTCATTTGTATTTTATCTGCATAAGAATATAGTATCATAATTAATAGAGCCAGATTAATTGATACCGGTTTAACTAAAAACTCTAGATATGAATTAAGTACTTCTTCAGCTTAAATTAAGGAATAGGGCAACATGCACTTCCACAGTTTCCCCCTTATATATGGTTAGGCACTTCTCAAAGTACAATCTTTTGTTTGTTACACTTAGCTTCCAAGTTACTCTGATAAAGAAGAATAATTGGCCCATAAGTTTAAAATAGCTTAACTATCACGTGAAATTGGGTGTTAAATTAGTAGCAAACAAAAGATGGACAATGGATTTGTGATCCTGCCCAAACATGTCAATCGGGTTCCTCCAAATAACTTCTTTCAGAAAGGTGGTCCACCAGGAGTAAAGCTTCAGGATGGACATTGGCGAATACAAGATGGGCAACTCCATCCTGCAAAGAAATAGAACTTGCCCGAGATGTAGTTGGCCAGGAATTTTGCTGCCGCTGCCACATCTGGTCCCAAAACTTGGTGGGATCATGCACCATCAATACCACACTGCAGTGTTGTTTGAAATGGCAGCACCAGCAGTGGGTCTGGGGTTTCTTGCATGTGCTGCTTTTTACTAAGATAGGATATCTGTCCTACCAGCAACAACCAGCTAACTCCACCACCAAGTCTGCAGTTAGTGGGGAGACTAAACAGGAGGAAGTATTATGTTATTTGTTCTCTTCAGTGAGTATAAAAAGGGTAGACAGTGTTACTGTTAAGAATAAAGAAAACACTGGAATAGAGGAGGACCAGTATCGGTATAATGGATTATGAATATGAAAAGTGAACAGATGATGTTAATAAATGAAGGAAATGCACACCAAATATTACAAATGCAAAAGTCAGAAAGTAACAACAGGTTCATACAGGTGGACTTTTCCCTGCTCCATCTTAATCCTCTACACAGTATGGAAAGAACTCAAAGAAGACACCGCATTCTATGAAGAGAAGGGGGGTTGGGGAGAGGGGGAGAGACAAGTGGAATTAATGACTTTAAATTAACATCTGTTTTATGTAATACTCTAAATCTCAAATAAAGGCAGTCAAGAGTAATAAACAAATAATAACCCATCTTTTGGGGAATGCCAGGTAAAAGTAATGAAGAAATTTGAGAGGAATGTTGCTTCTCATCTATATATTTTTTCATCATGAATGATGGGTATTTATACACCCTAAATGCTAATAAACCCAACAAATTCTAACAAGATTCTAACAATGGGGAGGAAATCTGTTTGTAACTTCCTCCATATACAGCTAATAAAAAAAAACAGAAAATATATAAACCTAATTTCTTCTTATTTTCTATACTCTCCCTCAATTTAGTTTACATATATGTTGAGTAAACCTAAATTGGATATTATATCATTAAATGTTCTTTTAGGTAGAGCTTTCGTTAGAATATCCGCACTCTGTTGACTGGTTGAAATGTGCATCAGTGTTATAATTTTATATTCTAATTTCTCTTTGATAAAATGACGATCGATCTTCACATATTTGGTTCTGTCATGATGTATAGAGTTTTTGACGATACGGATAGTTGATTGATTGTCACACTACACCTTCATAGGCACGTTGTTAGGGGCCTTTAATTCGACAAGTATTCTCTTTAACCACATACCTTCACATATTCCATGAGCAAGGACCCTAAATTCAGATTCTGCACTGTTGCGAGATACAACTGACCGTTTCTTACTTCGTCAGGTGACTAGGTTCCCCCAAACGTAAATACAATATCCTGATGTAGATCTTCTATCATTTGTAGAGCCTGCCCAATCTGCATCAGTGTAAATTTCAACATCTTTTCTATCTGTCTTTTGAAAGAACAACCCCTTGTCCTGAAGTTTTTTTAAGATATCTTAGAATTCGATACACAGTTCTCATGTGTTCCTCAGTTGGCTGATTCATGAACTGACCTACTGTACCCACTGCAAAGCTGATGTCAGGTCTTGTATGTGCTAAATAGATAAGCTTCCCAACGAGTCTTTGGTATCTCCCTTTATCAACTGTTTTATCACTATTTTTGGATCCAAACTTAATGGTTGAATCCATAGGAGTGTCAGCAGGCTTGTTTCCTAGCATCCCAGTCTCTTTTAGGAGATTCAGAACGTACTTTCGTTGAGATATTGAAATTCCTTTCTTGGATCTAGCCACTTCCATACCAAGAAAGTGCTTTAGTATCCCTAGATCTTTAATTTCAAATTCTTGGGATAGGAATTGCTTGAGTTTCTGAATCTCCTCAACATGATCACCTGTAAGAATGATGTCATCTACGTATACAATTAAAATGGCTTTCTTACTTGAGACGCAATGCTTGACAAATTGTGTATGATGGGATTGACATTGTTCATATCCTTAATATTTTACAACTCTTGTGAATCTATCAAACCATACCCTTGGAGATTGTTTTAAGCCATAGAATGATTTCTTCAATTTGTACGCTTTCTGAGAATTGTCTGTTAGTTCAAACCCTGATGGTATATCTATATATACTTCTTCCTCTATATCACCATTAAGAAATGCATTTTTCACATCTAGTTGGTAAAGTGGCCAATCAAGTTTAAATACAAGTGAAAGAAGTACCCGAATAGTATTATGTTTGGCTACTGGAGTAAAAGTCTCCTGATAGTCTACTCCATAGGACTGAGTATAGCCTTTGGCTACCAGGCGAGCCTTATATCGATTCACACTCCCATCTGCATTATTCTTAGTTGTGAAGACCCATTTGCACCCCACTTGGTGTTTTCCTGGAGGTAGATCCACTAATTCCCATGTCTTACTCTTTTCAAGTGCCTTAATTTCCTCTTGAACAACTATCTTCCATTCATGTATTTCCAAAGCTTCATGAATTGTTTTGGGCTCTGGTGAACAACTGTCTATCCTGCATATAAAAGCATGATGCTCCGAAGACAGCTTCTCCAAAGAAACATAGTCTTGTATAGGATGTTTAATACATGTTCGAATCCCATTTCTCAAAGCAATAGGAATATCAATATCAATATTTGAAATAGGAGCAAAGATTATATTACCTGAATCAAGGGTGGATTCATGGTAGGGCTTGGATGATTCAGGTGCTTTTCATTTGTTTCTTCTAATATAAACACGTAGCTCACTACCTGCAGGTAATGTGTTCTCTGTAATTGGCTTTGGTTCAGGCTCTAAAGAAGGTTTGTCTGATGAGAAATGACTCTATGGATATAGAGGAGGTATACTCACATCCCATAACTGATATTGCTGAATAAATATCTCCCCCTGAATATCAGTTGTTGGGTAAAAAGATTGATTTAAAAAAATGTGACATCCATTATATTATAGAAGTGACGGGTTTCTGGAACTAGACACTTGTAACCTTTCTGATTAACAGAGTACCCAACAAAAATGCATTTTATGGCTCTTGGGTCAAGTTTTCCACAGAGGTGTTTGTGAATATAGACATAAGCTGAACAACCAAAAACTTTGAGTGGTAATATATTTAAAATATGAGATGTAGGAAAGGATTGTGAAAAAATGGCATAAGGTGATTGAAATTGTAAAATCCGGAAGGGCATCCGATTTATCAGGTAGGTAGCGGAAAGAACTACCTCTCCGAAAGAAGAATTTTGGTACATGAGTGGTGAACATAATTGATCTAACTACTTCAAGAATATGTCTATTTTTCCTTTCGGCTATACCGTTTTGCTGTGGGATATGAATACAAGAGTTTTGGTGAATAACTATATGTTTAGTAAAATATTTTTCAAGGGTAGCTTCAAAATATTTACAAGCATTGTCAAATTTCAACACTTGGATGGTACCCTGAAATTCGATTCGAATCATTGTATGGAATTTTTTAAATAGAGGTCCAACTTCTAATTTCTCTTTCATAAGAAACACCCACGTAATTCTTGTATGGTTATTAATGCAGGATATAAACCATTTAGTTCCGGTGATGTTAGGGACCTTGGAGGGTCCCCATACATCGCTATGAATCAATGTAAACAGTTTTGATGATTTGTATGGTAAACTAGGGAATGAACTTCGAACATGTTTAGAAAATTGGCATATCTCACACTGAAAAGAAACTGCATCTTTTTCTTTGAATAGTGAAGGAAACATCCTCTTTAAATACATGAAATTTGAATGTCCTACTCTATAGTGTCATAACATGATATTATGTTCATTATTTGCAGAAACAGAGTTTGCAGATACTACTTTGTGAGTTTGTCCTTGAGAAGTGTTGATTTGAAGCAGGTATAATCCTGAGCTCATCCTATCACTATCAATCGTCCTCCCCAAGTCCAAGTCCTGAAATTCACACATATTAGAGACAAATTTTGCATTACATTTTAAGTTTTCACTTAACTTGCTAACTGATAGTAAATTACAATCCAAATTTGAAACATAGAGAACTTAACACAGAGTTAAATTTGGAGATAAATTTACAGAGCCCATTCAAGCTACTTTTGAAAAAGAACCATCAGCAATTCTGATTGAAAAAACTTCTTCACACTTGCTGTATTTCTAAAATATTGAAGTATCTCCACTCATATGGTCAAAAGCTCCAGAGTCTACTACCCACACCTGTCCATTTTTCTGAAAAAACAGATAAACCAATGATATTACCTTTATGTGCCAAGAGGCATTGACTGAGTAGAAATTTTTAGACAAGATATGCTGGAGGGCTTCCAGCTGTTCAGGACTGAAAGGGCTGCTCTCCACAACACCAGAGGGCATTTCTTTAGCAATTACATGATTGCCCTGATGCTTACTTGAGTTTCTGCCTTGGAGGATTTCCACTCACCCGAAAGCTTCCAGTCATTCGGGTTGTAATAGAGCTTCCAGCAGCACTCACGAGTATGCCCTAGTTTCTTACAGTGATCACACCAAGGCCTTGTCTCTTCGTCGAGCGTCAACAGCTCGGGTTGTGAACGCTGAAGAGTTTTGGCCAGGTGGATCTACTCAACATCACCCATCAAGACATTCTGCGGCTCTCTTCGCGTCAAACTTTAGAGAACGCCTCTCAAAGACTCGGCAAGGGTTTGGTACTCAGCACACGTTCCCGAATCTCGTCGAGATTCCTATTCAACCCCAGCAAGAATTTGAAGACGTGTTTCTCTTCGACGAACGATTTGAAGTTCTTCGCATCTTCGGGGCAACTCCATCGACGCTCTTCAAATGTATCCATCTGCTGCCAGTTACGAGTTAAGACGTTGTAATACTGAGTGACGCTTAACTTGCCTTGGCGAAAATCATGAAGCGCAAACTCTATTTCGAAAATGGCGAAAGTGTTTTCTTTCCTGGAATAAAATTCATGAGCTGCTTTCTAGATTTCGTGAGCAGTTTCATAGAGTAGAAAATTCTCTCTAATTTCTGGGGTCATTGACGTGATGAGCCACGACGTCACCATGCTGTCTTCAATCTCCCATACGCCAGCGCTTGAGTTAGTTGCTAGAGGAGATACAACTTCGCCAGTATGATGTCCGTAGTGACCCTTCCCCTGGATGAACAATTGGACAGAGGACGACCATTGTAGGTAATTACTGTCGTTGAGTTTGTGTCTTGTAATGCAGGACGAAGACATCTCACTCACAACGTTGCTGGTTGTTGTGTGATGATAGAAACCAAAGGAGACCTCTGGAGAAGACGAAAGCTCGTCTATGGCCATTTGTGATTACAGCTCAGTAGGGATTTACTCTTCTTGGATCAAGTATTGCTTTGATACCATGAAGAAATTTGAGAAGGAATGTTGCTTCTCATCTATATATTTTTTCATCATAAATGATGGGTATTTATATACCCTAAATACTAACAAACCCAACAAATTCTAACAAGATTCTAACAATTTTATGGGGAGGAGGAAATCTGTTTGTAACTTCCTCCATGTACAGCTATAAAAAAAAAAACAGAAAATATACAACCTAATTTCTTCTTATTTTCTACAAGTAACACACCTGAAGATACAACCTTTACAAATTCCTACAATCTATAGGCACTGGCAACACAATCCTACTTATCTTTCAGCCAGGCATGAACAAATTTTAGCAAAAATACGACGACTATGGTAATACATAACATTTTGCTCTTCATCAAAGCTGTGATTCATTCTGACCAGTACATTCAGTAGATAAATTTATTTAAAATGCAAAGAAAAAAGAAGCATATCAGACAAAGAGATCAATCATGCAGTGAATGCAACCTACCACTGGAATTAATGTATACCAAATAGTAGTTTATAGTTCCTTTATTTGAATGCAGAATAAAAACATTCCCACGAGCATTATACATAACTGTAAAAGCATTAAGGAAAGACTATGGTGAAAATAATGGTAAAGTATCTAAAATTTACCATTGCCGCATAGATTAGCAATAGCGATTGAGCCCATATATTATATATAAACGATCCTCTGCTTTCCTGCTGTCATGGATAACAAACTAATTCCACCTTGAGCCATTATAAGTTCTTGATTGACTTCTGCTATGCCAGAAAAGGATGCAAATTAAATAACATCCTGGACATCAATTAAACCAACTACTTAAAATATAAAAAATCATCAATAGATAATTACCGTTCATTGCAAGATTCGCAATTGCACCTGCTGCTACTCTACGAACAGTTTCATCCTCATAGCTTCTCAGAAGCATCAGCAAGGAAGTAAGACCTCCAGCTTCAACAATCCTCTCTTGATGTGCTTCTGTTATTTTGTGTCGAATTCATACAAAGACATAAATTGGACACAGTTCAATGACAAAAGTGGGGTCACATGAGAAAATGTAGTGTCGACATTCTGAACAGAAACTGAATGTTTCTTTAAAGCAAGTTAGAGAGGTTACATCCGAAATAAGTGAAAACTGCAAAAATGTTAGCCGCACCCACGACAACTAAGAGCTGAGGTGTCAACAGAGGAGGTGAATGGACTGTGTTGGTTTGGATTTCCAAATTTTATGGCTTTATATTTCTTATTTCTACACTGTTATTATCTGCATATTTCTTGTTCTGTTTCTTCTGTTACCTTCTTCCAGCTTTCTCGGACATCAGGGTATGAAAATGAAATATTACAATTGTAATACAGATGTAGACCATTGACAAATTATTGGAAACCAAGGGGTCTGACAAATTGGCATCAAAGTGGTTGATTCTCAACCATTCTTCTATTCTCCATCTACATACTAACGTTCTTTATGTTGCTTCTCCTTTCTCTCCTTCCTCTTTTCTCTCTGATCTAAGAGTTCTTTTAAAACACACTAAAAAGAAAAGAGAGAGAACTGCTGCCATGAATGCAGAGCCAAATTCCCAAATAGTAGATATGAACTTTGACGAAACATGGGAAAGGTGTAGGAGGAAGTATGCTGAACAAAAGAAGACTCATCTCGGATCCTGGAGAGAGCTTCAGTTTAAGCAGGAAGCTGCTCTACAAGAGAACCAATGTTGTCTGGACCACAAAATTGAGGAATCAAAGATAATGTTGCAAATGATGAGCTGCAGTTTTTCCTCTCCATTGGCATCAGCTTCACCAATTGTGAGTCCCCTGGCAACATCCTCCACCGTTAACTCCTTTTCAACCTTTCCTGGAAATAATTCACCTATGGAGATGTTTGATTTGTCTTCTTTGGGAGTAAGGTCAGATTTAGCTTTATTGTTTTCCTTTAAAGAAAGAGAAACATATGGGTTCTTTCAGGCCAAAGGAATACAAGGAGCAATTTTTCGCCCTTTGGGATGGTATACTCTTTGTAGAAAAAAGACTAACAGGTATATTTCCCTTCTATTTTACCAAAATCTGATCAAGGTCCCCTTCAGATGCCTCTTCTACCTGCATTTGTACCTGCTAAAGCTTTCTTACCAACGCTTCATGGTAAAAATTATAGAGATAATGGGAATCATGAAAAAATTGAAAAAAGAAGAGTAACTGGGCTTTTAAGAAAAGAATTTACAAATTCTGCTAACGAAGTTATTAAGTGCTGGAGTTCTAACAAGGAAGAAGAAGTGTTAGTGGACAATATACAAGCTAAGAGCAAAGTCCAACTTATTGCAAGTCCATTTGAGAAAATGCAGACAAAGTTTTTGTGAAAAGTTCACAAAAGAGTTAATTAAATCATGATGAAATGCACTTCAGAGAAGCTGGTTTTTTCCAAGAGTCCACTAGTATTTACTTATAAGAGTATATACTTAGCAACTGACATATGTATGTTAAATATAATCTTTATAAGCAAATGATATCTGACTTTAGTTCAAGTGAATTGTCAACTATGTACAAATGGGACAATTAGAGGCTGTTAAACAGAGAAGTTTCATTGAGAAATGAATTTTTTGTTGTTGGTGGTGAAGGTATGAATGGAGGATGTAATGAAATTGGTTCAAACTTCTCTAAGGCTACTTGGCTCACAATCCATGCATGGCAATAGATGGATATTAGTTAATACATGGGTGTATGCATATCACCCTTATAAAGATCAAGAGTTTCTTATTACAAGAGCCTACGGTTGTTGGAATACTGCCAAAATTGACCAAGTTTATCCATTAAGTGTGACTTTGGTTTCATGGAACCCATCAACTGCACTTGACAATGTTAGTAGTCATCAACTGGTTGTTTTTGGAAAGTGTTATATCAGTCGTAAATTTGAGTGGGGCAGTATTTTTATTGCTTGAAATATTTTTGCTGATACCTTTGGTATTTCATGAAGTTGAATTGTATAATACCTGCGCTTGGCTCAAGGAGCCTGGTAAAACTGACATTAATCAGGCTCCTTGACCCAAGGCAAGTACTAATTATGCAACTCAACTTCATGAAAAACAAGAGTATCAGCAAGAATATTTCAAGCAAGGTAATGATATATATGTCAACACTTTAGAAGTAACATCCAATTTTGAGAATCATAAATTTAACGACAGACAGGCACATGAAAACACACACACACACAGACATTCAAGCACAAATCTAACAACCTTAAAAAATTTTCACTCACCCTCAGCGGCTAAGTTGGCTACCACTTTTACCGCATGAATTCGTACACTGGCATCTTCTGACTCAAGCAACGACAAAATTTTTTGCAGTCCAACTATCAAAGAAATCAATAAAAACCATCAGAAGGATAATATAAGAAATTATAGGTCCGAGTAATTCCTTCCCCATTTTCTTCATAGGTTTAAGCAATGGTACTTTGAACAAATCCATTGTTCACCTTGTTCGAAGAGTGTAGGAATTGGTGCCTTCAGCATACTCCCAGAATCATTGAACTGGGAATTCCTGACTTGAGACGAGAGGAAATCCATACCAGCATAAGAATTGCCAGCTCCAGCTCTTTCAAAATATCTTCTCATCTATAAACAAACGCAAGAATAATAGTGTTGAAATTAACATTCATATCAGAGCTAAAACTGAACATTTATTTTGACAGCGTTCAAGGCCTAGGAAGTTTAAAAATGCTACGATGTCAAAGCACAAGGTTTACACCAAAGATAGTGCAAAAGGTTTGATCCAAACATGGGGGTATCTTTTAAACAGATCCTCACAAAAGAAGCTAGATCAACCAAACTAGGCAGCTACATCTGTTCTTCCCAACCAAACTAGGCAGCTACATCCGTTCTTCCCATCTTCTCTGTCCTTTTTTCTACAAGAAACTGAAGATTCTTGTAACCTCTTGCATACTACATCAGTAGTGTTATGGAAAAAAATGCAGTATATTTTTGTAGTCTAAGGACCTTAGAAACACTAAGAGCTAGTATCTTTAAACAATGGCCGAGCCTGTGGTAAGCTTATAGTTTAATAGATGGTATCAGAGTTGGCCCTAAACAACTATCATATTGGCTTTGTGGATTCTGTTTGGATTGGATATAATTTTGCAAAGGTTCTATTTGTTTGAGATCACAAAGATGGATCCATTAGAAGTTTGTAACACCCTGCATATTACATCGGTGGTGTTATGAAAAAAAAGTGTAGTATATATATTTGTAGTCTAAAGATACCAAAAGCAGTAATAGCTAGTGCTTTTGAGTGAGTCTGTGCTGGACTTGATTTTACAGTTCTCTTTAACCATTAAATCAGCAAGCAGCAATATGAAAAAATCTAGATACTCATAATTAGACTCAAAAACAAATATCCAGTGATAACAATAATTACATAAAGAAAGAGAAATATATAAGCAGACTGACTTAACATGCAAAAATCAAATACCTGGTCAGCTTCAAACGTCAATTGCAGCAACTGACTTCGCAGCATCATTATTTCTTCTTCAAGTTTCTTTTTCTGAAGAGCCTCATCCTCCAAAATCTTTTGAAGCTTCAAGATTTCTGGATTCCCACCTGCCTAGAACACCAAGATAATCCTTTATATGGCACAGCTTGGGTGTCAACAAAGGTCAAAATAATCCTCTACAAATTTATGCAAAAAATTCAAGGGAAAAACACACCCCTAACTCTGTTCGTTGACCAAGTTGACTCTTCAGCTTACTAACCTCCTCTTCAGCTGCCTTTCTCAAACAAGTTTCATTCTGAAGCAATTTCTTCAACTCGGCAACTTCCTCAGTAGAAGAAGTACCAGGCTCCTGTGGAGTAAAAAGAAGCAAAAATCGAAAAATTGTAAAGGTAACAAAGCTCACAATCAACTAATGATTAGAAAAGGCATAATTAGTTGGCTACCATAGACACTATCCCTAAGGCATAAATATGTTATTATGTGGCTGTAAACTACTTTCACATGCTCAAGAATAGAGTGTAGAATGAAGACCATATTCAATATGTTCCAGTAGGCTTAAGTAGGAAAAAATCAATTTAAATACGTTCATGAGAATTGATTTCTGGAGTAATTAATGTAGTAAGAACCCCAGAACAAGCTAAGGCAAGGAGAAAGGAGGCCACATATGAAAGTCATATACAGCAGTTAGTTGTAAGCTACCAATCACCCATGAATTCACACAAAACTTCTCTTTTCAACAACCAGAAAACAAGAAGCTGTTCTCCAGGCAAGTACCTCTCCATTACATTTACCATTCAAGAAGCTATTATGATCCTGCTTTTGCTGATTAGATATCATTGTTTCTTCCAGCTTCTTGACTGATTCCATGTACTCCATTTGAGTCTTTAGCCTCTCCTTCTACAAGAAACAACTCTAAACCGTTAATTAGGTATAAAAGCAGAAATTACGAGTATTTGCGGGTTCATGTGGAAAGAAAGAAACACGAGCTTTTTAAGGATTCTGCTCTCCTTTTGATAGGATTAAAGGTCATTGATCCCTAACTAGGGGTCATTGTTCAAAGATTCAAATATCATCCTCTCCGTGATGGAGATGACTTATGGGACTTTTTGGATGCTTTGACAACTATTTCCTGTGGGTGGCATCCTCTTGAAGCCTTGAATAAAATTTCCTTTCTATCCAAAAAAATAGAACTGTGCAGTGATTTTAAACTTAAAATTTCATCAGAACCTTACAAGTACACAAAATTGTCCCTTCTGGGGGGAATTGAGCAAGGATGGGAAGAGAAACTGAATATGCAACAGCAGTCTACTTGAACTAACCTCTAAGGCATCTGCAACATTCCTTTCAACTTCAGAGATACGATTTTGCGCTTCTAGATTTATTCTTTCAACTTCATCATCAAATGCTTTCTGTTGCCTTTCATTTTCAGCAATAAGTTTGTCCAGTTGCATTTCAAGCCTTCTAGACAAACTTTTATAATCAAACTCCTCCTTTATTTTCAACATGTTCTCCACCTTCATAGCCTGTAAGAAATGAAGTAATAACGCATCCAACTTTGCACTGTCAATTAAGTTTAGAAAATTATCTCATATATTAAAAACTGAAGTCCAAATCAATAAGCAAACAAGATCAAAGGACCAACTAAAAAAACCAAGCACTCAAATTAACCACTGAAAAAAAAAACCATCGAAAAAGTACAACCATGAAATACTAGCCACAGCATCAGTCATTATAGACCATAGTGATGCAGATTGCAGAAGCACCTAAGACTCATCACGAAGGGAATTAGTTGGATAAAAAAACTTAATTTGTACGATCTTAGTTAAATTAAGTGGTAGATTTTCTGGTAAAAGTGTCAAGCATTCACCCCAAACTGCTAGGTTTTCTAAGAAGAATCACCTAGATATTACAAAGAGGGTTAAATCGGTATCTCTTCTTAATCCCATTATTTTCTTGAATTGAATAAATAACCTAGAAGACTATTTTAATCAGTCTTACGAGTCTGATACAGAGAGTATTAAGGTACCATTGATAGGTGTGGCTAAGAAGTACAGGATCTTTTCATCTAGAGCGCTAGGGGATCCAGCTATAAGAATAACTTGTTAGAAAACTTGTTAAACTTGAGACAATTGATTGGTATGTGATTAATTACTTGAAGAACTTATTGCCACTACTTAGTTATCTCATCAGTGAGATGGAAAGAAATCAAGAAGGAACACTCATCATATTTTCTCTCTGTTCTTTAGAAGAAGCATATCACAAAGCTATCCAAATAGGAAGTATTTCAAACTCCCTTTACTTGTTATGTATCGTCCTTTACAGTAGAGTCTAATTAATTTAAGTCTGTTTCTCATCAGCTCCTCCAGCCAAGTTTTTTGTTTCCCAAGTACCTAACACTTTAATCCTCATCCTACTGGCCTCCCTAGTAGGTCAAGTGAAAGAACTCAGATTGGTAGTAGAGCATAAGTCTAGCAATTCTCGCATTTCCAAGACTAGGGGTGGGCAAAACTCTGTCCCAACTAGAAAAATGGACAAGACCAGCATGTTCGGTCTGGACCAGTCCACATATCGTCTAGTCCTCAGTCCAGGAGATTAGAGACTAAGGAGACTGATCTGTTCTGTTCCAATCTGAGTCCTGTCTGGTTAAATGATTCTTTTTTAAATATAAATGAATTCAATATATACAGATTTAATAACATGTATATGTATGTGTATATATATTTTATGTATATATATGTTTACATGTTATTTGTACAATTAGGTCTACTTTGGCCCGCTTTGAACCAAAGTAATAACATCTCAGTCTTCAGTCTGAAAATTTCTTCAAGTTCAACTATGGTCAGGTCTGGTCCAGTTCCGCACCATTGCTCACCCCCATTCGAGACTTAGGTTGTTTATCCTATTAAATACCAAATACCATAGAAAACATTGTCAGATATTTTTTACCCTCCTGAATTTGTTCTAATAAGTGCCTAAATGGTCTATCTAGGTTCAAGTTGCTATGCTTATAAACCTGATTCCTTTTCTTACCAGATCCCATAAGCCTTCACTGATTACTCTTTTCAAAACTTAGTAATTTTGTGATAATCCACAACTTGCTAAACTATTACATAATTCTTAAAACATGGACCTAATGCATATCTTCTTCATTAAACTAACGTTATGGATCGAGATAATCTCTTGCATAATACTAGTGATTTCATATATTAAAATTTTGTGCTAATAAAATAAAATTTAGGTCGGAGGAGAATTATTTTTAGCCTTCTCCCAATAAAAGATAGACTTGTCCCATTCTAACTGGGTGATTTCACATGATTTACTTTAATGTGTATATTATGCATGGGATAGAGAGGCATTTTCAGAAAATAAGGGAAGAAATTTTAGGAGGAAGAGAAGATTTTCTTTTCTTCCACAAAACAAAAAGAAGAGAGAGGAAGTAGAGAGAAAGAGAAGGATGGTGGAGAGAGAAATTTTGCTGCAAAGAGGCCAAAATCTGCTAATCAATGGACCGCATACCGAGCACCGTAAAGTCACCAATGACAACCTCCAACCAGTGAACTGCCAGAAACCCATGACAGGAAAAGAGAAAGAGTGGCCAAATCTTCCGATCAGATTCCAATCTACTCCAGCCACAAATCAGCGAGCCACCACCACTAACAAACTCCTCGGATCCCCAAGAGAAACTGATTTAGGAAGAGTCCTACCTATGCATGTATTTAGTTATGGGTTAAATCCAATTATTGAATACCCACATTGGAAATATATAATGTGTTTTCAAGTCTTTAAATCCAAGTTCTAACCTCAAAGGCCTTAATTGAGATTAGCATTGGGCAAGAGTGTGTTGCAAAGATTTTATCTTAAGTCTGCTGTGCACAACTTTACACTGCTTAAGTTGGTAAGTGGCAAATGCTGATATCCTACTCATTTTAATTTGGTAACTACAGATTCGCTACAAAGCTCTTGATACTAGTAACTTAAGCTAGGTATAGAAACTTAAATAAACTTGTGGCAATGAGATAGATTTGGAAGTTTGAGAAGTAGGTGCCTGATTATTTGTGTGACAGATGTTGATACTTCTTAAGTCAATGTCGAGATAATTTTGATAGATAATAGATAAATGTCATGGTATTGAATGCTGGAAT